CGAAATGTTTTGGGGTTTGTGTAAAAGAGTAATAGGTTGGAATGGATCTTTTATATTTTCCGTTGCATATCCGCGTGGATTTTGAAAACTTACTTGCTTGCACAGAATAATCGATGAGATGAATAAACTTTGCGCTCTTTCCATCACACATCCTGTTGTAGTACGAAATCTGTCCTAGTTACGCGTATAAGTGGGTGAACTGAGTGTAGATTTTTTTGCTAATCTGATATGTCAAAGTGTAGTTCGTAACGCACTACCATCATTTTGATACATTAATAGTTGTGGTGTAGACTTTTCTCGCAAGTGTTCTAGGAGATTACAATTCGAAAGACGAACTTCTGTCCTCATTCGTATAAACAAATGCACTGCACGAAAGTTTTGACGTTAAACTCATAGATTGATGCATAACTCGATTCTTTCTGTTGCTAATCTCAGACGTCTCTTTTTGAGGCAAGATTTCCAGTCGTCGGTCTCTACGATTGAAGATTGTTCTGCAACCATTTTATATGCGTCTCTACACACGTGATAGCGACAAACTGTCACCTGTTACCATTTGAGATTGAGGAATAGACTGGTGCTATTTATTATCATCATTGCAGAGCACGATTTAGTGAGGGCTACTCCGCGTTGATAGTACCTTATAATGGGACGCCGAATGCGTATTTTACGCGTTTCTTTTCATTAATGTGGATTCAGCTACATTTTGGCCATGCTTTCAGAGAATGCCAGAACTTGTACAGCTTTCTCATGCATTGTTGTAGAAAGCGACATTCTGCGAAATTATCGCTACTTTTATACTTCTTTATCATGGTATTTTGCGGAAAGCTACAGTGACGATTCCGTTTGTCTTTATCAAATAATAATAGATCGTGAATAATATAGAAGAAAAAAGTAGCGAAGGTAATCGTCAGAAATAAGACCAGCATCATCGAGACGAGACGAATAGAAATATTAAATATGTATGCAGCAGATGTGCAACAGTGAATCAATTCAATCGCTAACGGATATGCATCAATAAATTAATCGACTTCAGCAACGGTGGCTATCGGTGTTGATTTCGTACCGACCTTAATCGATCCCGACATTGCGATCATATCAGCGCTATACATATCTCACTTTTAAAATACTTCGTTGTACTTTTCAAACTATTCTAATAAATAAATTACCACAACTGAATAACTGTAACCGAATGATAGTATAAGTTTGGCCGATGTGTTACAGTCAATTTAGGTTATACGATATATGCGATGCTGTTTGCTTTTTTCTCGAATTATTGCTTTGTTACTTTTGGTAGATAACGACAATTTACTTTTCTTATCTACCTTTCTTTGTCCTTTATCATTTCATATGGATATTTTCCAGCTACGAAATATGTTGAGAGAGACTGCTTTTATCAAAAGTGTAACATACAAGCTGGCAAGCAAACGATGAGTCAATGCTACAAAAAAAATATCCATTATCAAGCAAGAAGCTTCATTTAGAATGCAGTAAAAGGCCAACATTTACTTCTGTATGATGCGAGATGTGGACGCACACAGCAGTAATTGAGAGTGTGGCTGTGGCTGTGGCTGTGAATGTTAGTGCGTGGGTCAGAATGTGGGCTCGGATTCTCTCTTGAGGTCTTTACACCCACAGCCACACCCACACCCTGGCTGTAAATGGTCTCATCTAAAAGAGCAAGTTGTGCTGAGTTTATATGCAAAAGAAATCTGAATGAGAATATCAACAATATCCATCAGAAGAGAGGTAACCACTGAACAAGAGAAGAGCGCAGCACGGCAGAACCGTTCTATCCTGTGTTTAGCTCTGGTGGGAAAGTAAAAATATTGCTCAATTTTAAAGAAAAATGACGAAAAAAAATAACAGAACTTAATAAAAAGAAATTGTACAACCTACATATCGATAAATCTCAAATAAAAGGTCTTATGAACTTTGTTTTTCCTGATTTTTTTTTGAAACACCATAGTTTACAGTTTTGTTTGATATAAAACTATTTTATCTTCATTAACAACATCAGTTCATTGGCTTAGGCATGATGAAGATATTCAAATTTTCTTTTCTTTTTTATCACTTTATGGATTTATGATTAAAACACTTTTGTTTCAAATAAATAACACTATTACTTTTAATCGTATTAAACTTGTATTTATGATATAAGATGTTTTCATAAAGTTTTCGCATTAAATAGTAGTGAAATTATGAAGATGAAGTTGTGCTAGTTGATATTTGTATCATTTCATTGTCCGTTTTGTCTTGTTCTTGATCATTGGCAACATCTGAATGATAGCACAGCAATATCAATTGTTAATTCGTAATAGAAAGCAGATTGTGAGATCATTTTTTTTCTTTTTCATCTTATCAGACAAGTAAAGCTTGTCGCCCCGACTCGCTTGACCCTCGACTGAATTATGAGGATTATATTTATGTACTGCTTTCCGTTGTTCAGATTTCTCTTCACAATATCAAATATTTACATGTAGATATGACATAATGCTTTGATGATGATCTATAGTAATATAGTCAGGTTGTAGCTATCGCAATTCTCAAAAATAAAGACGCTATTGTTATCATGTTCATAAAATAAGATTGTTTAATAATTAACCTTGTAAAATTATTTCTTGTCCATCACGCAGTTTAAATATATCTTTAATTGCTTTTCCATTAACAACATTAAGAAAGATTATTTTTTCATAAAACGTTATAGGATAAGTCAAAACATAGTTACAAAACTTGATGTCAATTATAAAGTCGTTTCCCTACACGAACGTCACCCTAATATGCAACAATAATGATATGAGAGATGATCATATCCAGGGTTGTCGATTATTTTGAAATGTGGGAGGGGCAAAAAGTTCGCCAGAAAGTCGGGAAACTTTGCCAGAAAGTATCTCATTTTACCTGCTGCTAGCAACAGAACAATTAATGCTGATTTCGTCGACTTTCTGCGAGATTTTGTTGGAAAAAAAGTGTTTTTATTCGATTCTCTGCCAGAAAAATGGCAAAAAGTGCTTAAAAACCGGTTTTCTGTCAGAATCGACAATGATACTTTTTATTATTTGGCAGAAAGTGTTGGAAATTGTCGGAGAAAATCGGGCGCGTTTTCAATTGTTGGTGGGAGAAAGGCCCCCCCCCCCC